GGACCCCATTCCTCTCCCAGAGCGTGGAGAGAACCCAGGAGTCCTGGTTCCCAGCCTCACTTCCCCCCGCTCTAACCACTAGACCCCACTTCCCTCCAAGACTATTTGCGTTATGAGGTCACTGGCTGACCCATCGCTTACCTCACTCTGCGCTGGGCGCTTCCTTCTCCTTTCCTGTTAAAGCCACGTCTCAGTGATGCACACAGGCCTGGTGCCCTGGGGAGTGGAAATGGGGCAGGACGGTTGGGGGGGTTCTCCCCTCCCCTTTGCTTCACACCTCGGGGTCCTGGCTCCCCGGGGGGCTGTGTGGCAACTGGGGGGCTGATGGGCCCGGCTTGTGGGCAGGGCCCCAGACTGGGCTGCAGGACACCTGGGTCCTTGGCCCAGCTCGGCCGCAAACTCCCCCTGTGACCGGGAGCAAAGGCAGGAGGCCCCCTGCCTCAGTTTCCCCCGCTGTATAATGGGGGAGAATGAGCCTTGCTGTGTCTGTTCAGACTGGCTGCTCCTGGAGGCGGGGGCTGCTTTCGCCGTGTGTCCCGGCAGCCCCCAGAAGGATGGGGCCCCGATCTCGGAGGGGGGGCATCAGTGGGGCACCTGGCCCAACAGGGTCCGGTCTGGGGTGGGGATCTGTGCTGGGGTTTAGCCATCCCAGCCACATCCCTCAGCTTTCTCTGCCCCACCCCTCAACCTGGCATCTGGCCTCCCACCGACCTGTCTCGCCCGGGGGTCGCACTGAAGCATTGACCCCCATTGAACTCAAAGGCCCGAGCGACCCGGCGGAGAAAACCCCTCGGGGTTAAAGATTCGTCAGCTCTCAGCTCTGCTGGGGTGGGGAGGCCGGGGGGCAGCTCCCCCGGCCAGAGGACCGGTCCCCAGCGAGCCTGGCTGGGACCATGGGGCAGGGCAACGAGGCAGCCAGGCCGGGGGCTAAAGTCCCGTCCTTGGCTGGTCATTAACCCCCCAGCCACATTGGGCAAACAACAAGCAAACAACCACCCCAGGCTGTGTCTGGTGGGGAGGGGGCCAGTGGGGCTGCGGTGGGAAGCTGTGGGGGGATGGGAAGGGGGCTGTGGCGGGGGGGGGGGAGGACCGGGGCTAGTTTTGTCCAGCTCAGGAAGGGGAAGTGGTTTGTGGGTCTTTTTGTCCAATTTCCGTTCCGGGGTTGTGCTGAACACGGACAGATTTTTTTGCTTCATAAAACAAGTAGGGGAGGGGGGACGGGGGAGTCTGTGTGCGACAACCAGGGTGTTTGTATGTGTGCGAGCTGTGGGGTGTGTGTGTGTGTATGAGCTGGAGTGTCTGTGTGTGTGTGTGTGTGTGTGTGTGTGTGCGCGCGAGAACCAGGCTGTGTGTGTGTGCAAACTGGTGTGTGGGTGTGTGTGTGTGTGAGAGAGTGTGCAAGAACCAGGGTGTGTGTCTGTGTATGCGAGAACCAGTGTGTTTGTGTGTATGAGCTGAAGTGTGTGTGTGTATGAGAACCAGGGTGTGTCTGGGTGTGTGATTTTGAACAATCTCTCGCTCCACCCCAGTGGGTGGGAGGGCGTCTGGGCCCAGACGTGTTCTGCTCAAATCAGCTCCATTTCGCCCATTAGCTGAGGATTTCTGTAAACATGGGCATGTCTCACACGCGCGCCCCCACCCCCTCACACACACACACCAACACTCACAGACACACACACACACACCTTGTGACCATCCAGCCTGACCTGCTGCCACAGGCCAGAGAAAGCCCCCACGCCGCTCCCAGAGCAGGGGAGAGAACCCAGGTGTCCTGGCTTCCCAACACTCCCCCCCACTAGCCCCCACTCCGCTCCCAGAGCCGGGAGAGAACCCAGGCGTCCTGTCTCCCAGCCCCCTCAATCTAACCACTCGTATTCTGGTGTTGTAACAGGGAGTCCATCACCCCTGGATTCTGCACCCCATAAAGGTCCATGGGGTGCCCCAGCTGGGCCAGAGCCATGTTCGGGGGGGGATCCTCCTTCCACTGCGCCCTGGCCCCGGGGGGGGGGGCAGGGCTAGAGAGCCCCGGCCCTTTGGCTCCGCAGCCCAGCGGCAGTAGAGCTTTTATCCTCCCCTGGCATTGGCCACAAGGGGGTGACATGATGCAGGGTCACCCCCCCCATAACCCTATATCCTGCTTTCCCCTAGGAGCTCCCCTCCCCCAACCCCCTCTGGATAGGGACCTCCCAGGGTAGCCCCCCAGCTCCTCCCCAGGCAGCCCCCCCAACTGTTAACCCCGCTGGGACCCATTCCTGCCAATGCTCTAACCACAACCCCTCCCAAGCCCTCCCAAGGGAACAACCCAACCAGACCCCCCTCCCCAGGGGGACCCCCCCGCCCCCCCCGCCGTTTATCCCCCCCCCGGCCCCCTGACATCCCCCTGCTCTACCCCCCCTCCCCTGAGAGCCCCCCCGGTAACCCCCCAGCCCCTCCCCAGGCAGCCCCCCGCAACTGTTAACCCCGCTGGGACCCATTTCCTGCCAAAGCTCTAACCACAACACCCCCCCTCAGAGCCCCCCCAAGGGAACAACCCAACCAGACCCCCCTCCCCAGGGGGACCCCCCAGCACCCCCTGCTGTTTATCCCTCCCCGGACCCCTGACATGCCACTGCTCTACCCCACCTCCCCTAAGAGCCCCCCCAGGTAACCCCACAGCCCCTCCCCAGGGGGACCCCCCAGCACCCCCTGCTGTTTATCCCTCCCCGGACCCCTGA